CCCCGTGATGCCGCGCGGCCGCCCCCTCCTGGGCCGGGGGGTGGAGGACTCGTGCGCCCCGGCTCCGCAGCGCGTCTCGGACCCGGTTGGGGGCCGCCCGGGGGCTGGCGGGGGCGAGCGCGGCCTTGGCGCAGCGTGGGGACACCGGAGACTGGGCGCGTGCCCCTGAGTCCCGGGTCCCATCCAGGGGGCGGTACCGGCGGAGGATCCCTTTCTGCGCGCGTCGCTGCGGCTCTTCCACCCACTGTTGCGAAGGGACGTTTTATGGGTAAAATTGAAAAGTTCCAAGGCACAGTCCCAAGTCTGCGGAATGTAAATGGACAAGGCAGCTCTAAAATTTATACAGAAATGCAAAGGTCCGAGAATAACTAAAGCAATCTTGAAGAAGAAAGTTGGAACACAACACTAGCAGATGTCAAGACCTATAAAAGTTACAGTATTTAAGTAAGTACAAAGCTGTGGTAATTAAGAGAGTACGGTTTGGGCACAGGAGAGACAAACAGACCAAAGGAACGCTATCTATCTATTGATACATGTAGTCACTTGGTTCATAATAAAGGTTCAAAGGTTCCTTTGCAGTACAAAGGGAAAAAGGATGGACTTTTCAATAAATGAAGCTGGGTCAATGGATATACATTTGGAAAACAAAATTAATCTTGACCTCTGCCACTCACAAAAGCAGTTGCAGATTCATTGTGATCTGATGCATGTAGATGTGAAAGTAAAGCAAGAAAGCTTTTAAAAGAAAACGGGAGAAAATCTTAAAAAAGAGAGAAAATCTTATGATCTTATTCTAGGTAAAGATCTTAAAGAGAACATAAAAATCTTTAGGAGTAAAGGAAAAAAAGGGATGAATTGACAACCTTAAAAATAACTTTTATTTATCCAAAGACACCATCCAGAGAATCAAAAGGAAAGCCACAGAATAGGATATGATGTCTGGTGTGTGTGTATGTGTATACATACCTATCAGACAGAGGACCCATATTTAGGCTACACGAGGAATTACATATTAATAATTTTAAAAACTGGGAAGCTGGTTAACAAAAAACTGAACTAGCTATTTTAAGGTACAATTCAATAGGTAAACTCTCAGCAAGAGAGATTTGTAGAAGTGTCCTACAAAGACACTTTATAAATAAAGAATATGTTGGGCTAAAAAGCAAGGCCACATCTACAGTTGTAGGACAAGAGTACAAATGGAAGCCATATGTCTATATGTCTACCATATGTCTAAATATTTTAAAGTTATAAACCATGCCAATAAGCTGCTAGATAAAATGTCTTATCTTCCCACCTTACAAATATATATTGATAAGGATGACCTGAAAGGCCAAGATTTTTTAAATGCTCAGATTCATGGAAGTTCAATGCCAAAAGTAGGAAATACTGGAAGAGATGGCCCTGCCCTCTGACCATGGCCCACCCGTTTCTTACCTTCCTTGACTCCATCCTGCACCACGAAGGGCCATGCACACATGCATGGGGACGCTACATCCAGGAAATTCAGGCTCCATCCACTCACCCAGCACCTCCCACAAACAGCTACATTTTGGCCACTGCTTGGTCCTAGGGGTGCACAGCAATGCCATTGACCCTTGGGACAATAGACCCAGGGAAGAAGCCAGTGCAGGTTCAGGACAAGAGCTGGGCTATTTAGACAGTGAATTCTGGTTCTCAGGTACCTAGCATATTCTGGAAAGTGGGAGGGTAACCGTCTTTGGGTGGCCATATCCCTTTGACCTCACAAAAGTCTCATCCATAGGGAGGACCTGGCTAGCCAGACTTGGAGCCTCTAAATCAAGGACTTTTCTTAGAAGGGCCTGAGGGTCATACTCCTAAGAAACAAGCTTCAAAATCCTCAACTACACTTTCCCCTCTCCCTTCTCTTTGTGTCCTATACTTGGACACCAAACAACTCAAAATTGTTTTTCACTCATTGTCTCTAACGTTACGACACTCACTTCATGCTTTGGGTACTACACCTGTCTTCTAGCTGCTCTTCTTGCTTCAGCCCCTTTCCCTCTCCAATCTTCCCTGAACATCATCACCGAATTAATCTTTCTGAAACACAGCATTCATCACATCTCTCCATACATCACAGACTGCAATGGCTCATTGAAGACAGCATTCTCAATTTCAAAGTCACAGCCTTTTAATTAAGTCTCCCCATTGTGTCTCTCTTACCACATTTACCACACTACTTCAGCCAAAGTCTTTGAAATACCCTGATCATCATCAAGGTCAAGTGAAAGTGTGTTAGATGGAGTTTTAATGTGAAGTGTGCATTAGCCCTTCCAAAGCTGATGAACCATGTACCAGATGGATCATAAAGTCCTTATTAATCAAAACCTTTAATTAGCTAGCATTTTCTGTCTCACAGTTGTGCTAAATAAAATAGGACTTACTATTTCTTTAGACTTAGGTCTTAGTTGCTCTTTAGCAAGGTAAGACTGCTTCCCTTTTCAATGGAAGCCTTTCAACACCCCTCCCTGAAGAGGCATGCCACTCATACCTTTCTGGTCTAGAAAACCTGCATTTAACACATTCTTGTTCCAGGCAATGTTCAAGGCACAGAGGACATAAGACAAAGTCCCTGCCTTCACAGAGCTCTGTTCCTGGGGAAGCTTACATTTTTTTTCTGGATGCTAGTTAGAGGAATTTAACTAGAGGAGCAAATATTCCTACAGTTTCTAGAATTCTGAGTTGGAGTGACAGTTGTGGGGACAGGAATACCTTGTAGAAACACTCACATCTCAACATGTAGGAGGAAGCTGCTCATGTCCATGTGGCACTGGAGTCATTTTCTCCTCTATTTCCTGTTCTTCCTGGATGAATGCAGTAGCTCCCACACAGAGATAAAGGAAAATAGGAAAAATAGAAAAATAACTCAGTGAGTTGCATTCAAAGGACATTGCGAAACCTAGAGCCACAGGGTGTCAGTGACCGTGAGGTGATGCCCGTGCCTCCCATCCAGAGGCTTCTGCTGGAGCACATACTCTCTTTTTGCCTGGGTCATGTTGCTACAGCATGATGTGTGCTCAGAGTTTGCACATAGAGTAACGGGCCTGTGAATAACCAACTTAATTAAATAAAAATAAACTTAATCAAATAAAATATCAATAAATATAAGAAAAATTTTCCCCTCCAACAGAACTATAATAACTAATGGTGCTAAGGAGGCAGGAATACTAGAGGCATTTGAGAGAGCGGAGACGCATCAGGGAAAATTTCTTAGAAGAAATGAGTTTTGAAATGGATCCACAGCGGAAGGAAACTGAGTCCCATCTGTATTGACCAGAGGAAAGGCCAAAGGCTACATCTGCCTTACCCAGTTTATCCCTAAAGCTCACGTGACCTGGGGTATCACTAAGGATAACATCAAGGTTTTGCTAGTTCATTCCCTCACTTACATAACTCCTGAGGCTTATGAAATTCTCTTCCCCTCAGATATTCCTGAGAGGATGCTTTCCTTCTCATGCCAAGCCTCACCAAGCCTCCTCTGTGGTTCACCAGCCTGCAGTGCTCCTCAGGGTGAATCCTACCCTTCTTTGGGCTGTGTTGCCTGGTGTCCTCCCAAAGCTGGAAAGACCATGTAAGTGCCCCCTGATGGCTCTACTGAAAGGGAAAGACTACCTCTTCATAGAGCTCCCAGCCCTAGAGTAGAGCAAAGGAGTGACTCTTCTGTTTTCTCAGCGATCCTGCTGAAATTCTCATTTCACTTCCAAGCCTCTGCTCCAAAAACCAGGCCCCTGCTCCTGCAGGCAGATCACTTGCCAGCCTGTCTAGATTACTGGTTGCAGCCTAGCTGAAACAACCTTGGGTAGATCCAGCTTGGGTAGATTCCTAAGAAATAAATTGCTGTGTGTAAAATGGTAAATTTATGTTTAACTTCTTAAGACACTGCCAAACTGTTTTCCAAAGGAAGCCTACCATTTTACATTCCCACCTGCAATGCACAAGGATCTCAGTTTCTCTGCATCCTTGACAGCCATTAAGCTGTCTATGTAGCGGTGTCTCATGCCTTTAATTTGCATTTCTCTGATGATTATGTTGTTGTTGAGCATCTTTTTACTTGCCTTTTGTGTACTTTCTTTGGTGAAAAGTTTATTGAATCTATTTAAGTCTATTAAATCTTATGCCCACTTTTAACTGGGTTGTCTTCTTATTGTTGACTTGTAAGAATTCTTTTTTTTTCCCCCCAAACAGAAGGTCTCACATATGTATTGTTGAACTAACCTACTGGTGCAGAAGCATGTAAGAGAGAAAAATCATTTCCCCGATAAAACATATCCATTGTTCAAGTAGTAGTGATGTTTACAGAGTGATAGGATCTGAGGGCGTAACTTTCATGCAGCATAAATATGTTTGCCACCTCACGTGCGATCCCTTATAGACCCAGCTTGGTTCTTCTCCAGTGCCTCCTCTTGGAGTTGTACCTGATTTTATTGCCAGTTTTCATCTGAATCCATGAGGAGTGGGATGATTTTGCTTTTGTTTCTTGGCCAGGAATTGTTTGATCCTGAACATCTTGTGAGACGACATGGCAAAGAAAGGTCAACCACACACAGCACAATGGCTGAGAAAAGGAGAGAGAAGTAAGAATTCTTTTTTTTTTTTTTTTTAATGTTCATTTATTTATTTGGCGGGGGGTGGTGCAGGGAGAGAGGGAATCACAAGAAGGCTCCACACTGTCAGCACAGAACCCTATGTGGAGCATGAACCCATGAACCATGAGATCATGACCTGAGCTGAAATCAAGAGTTGGACATGTAACCAACTGAACCACCCAGACACCTCAAGAATTCTTTCACCAGATATATGATTGGTAAATATTTCTCTCAGTCTGTGGTTTATCTTTTCAATTTTAATTTTTTTTTTTAACGTTTATTTATTTTTGAGACAGAGAGAGGCAGAGCATGAACGGGGGAGGGTCAGAGAGAGGGAGACACAGAATCCGAAACAGGCTCCAGGCTCTGAGCTGTCAACACAGAGCCCGACGCGGGGCTCGAACTCACAGACCGCGAGATCATGACCTGAGCCGAAGTCGGCCGCTTAACCGACTGAGCCACCCAGGCGCCCCTATCTTTTCAATTTTAATGATGTCTTTTGTAGTGCAAAAGTTTTAAATTTCCATGAATTCTAATTTCCTGATTTTTTTTCCTTTTATGGATTTTAAAGCTATACATTTCCCACTAACTACTGCTTTAGCTGTATCCAGTACATTTTGATCTGCTGTGTTTTCATGTTATTTAAATTCAGACAATTTTCTAAGTTCCCTTGTGATTTCTTCTTTGATCTATAGGCCATTTATTAGTGTGTTGTTCAATTTTTAAATATTCAAGGATTTCCCAATTTTTTTCTAACGTTTATTTTATTTTTGAGAGAGAGAGAGACAGAGAGCATGAGCAAGGAAGGGCAGAGAGAGGGAGACACAGAATCTGAAGCAGGCTCCAGGCTCTGAGCTGTTAGCACAGAGTCCAACGTGTGGCCCGAACCCACAAACCGTGAGAAGATCATGACCTGAGCTGAAGTCAGACGCTTAACCAGCTAAGCCATCCAGGTGCCCTTGTATTCATTTCTTTCTTTCTTTCTTTCTTTCTTTCTTTCTTTCTTTCTTTCTTTCTTTCTTTCTTTCTTTCTTTCCTTTTCTTTCTTTTCTTTCTTTCCCTTTCTTTCCCTTTCTTTCCTTCTTTCTTTTTTTATTTCTTCCTTTTTTTTTAGAAAGAGAGAGGGCACAAGTGAGGAAGGGGCAGAGAGAGAGAGAGAGAGAGTCCCACAAAGGGCAGAGAGAGAGAGAGGAGCGGGGTTCACCCAAAGTGGGGCTCGAGCTGACCCAATGTGGGGCTCAAACTTATGAACCATGAGATCATGACCTGCGCTGAAGTCCCATGCTTAACCAACTGGGCCACTCCAGCAACCCTCATTTTTTTTATAGGGCTGCTAACAAATTGGGTAGCTTAAAACAACAGAAATTGATTCTCTTACAGTTCTGAGGCTAGAAGTCTGAAATTAAGGTGTCATCAGGGGCATGCTTTCTCTCAAGGCTCTAGGGAAGAATCCTTCTCTGTCTCTTCCTAGCATCTGGTAGTTGTCAGTAATCCCTGGTGCTTCTGGCTGATAGATACATCACTGCAATCTCTGTCTCCATCATTGCATGGCATCCTGTCTCCCTGTCCAAATTTCTCTCCTCTTATAAGGATATCAGTCATTGAATTAGGGCCTACTCACATCTAGTATGACCTTATCTTTAACTTGATTACATCCTTCAAAAAACATATTACTAAATAAAGTTGCTTTCACAGGTTCTCAGTAGAGATGAAATTTGGAAGAACACTGTTCAACCCAGCACAGCACTCTTGCTGTCTTTTGGTTCCTTTTTGCAAGGGATAGCTTGTTCCCATCACTTTATGTTCTACCTATTTGTGTTTTGAATCAAGGTTGTATCTCTT